AAGAGGACTAGACAGTTAACCTTGATAAGAAGTAGGCTCAGTCGTGAATGAATTAGCTAATTCCTACTATAGACACAGGGCATTTGGTCATTCATGTGTCACCTTGATAAGAATTCAGTAACAGCTGGAGACACTGGAGTGACTGTAGTCAGTGGAGCTGTCTGGGAAGGGCTTAGGTTAGAAACGCTAGCCAGTTGTGATGACATTGTTATTTCACTAATGGCCTTGGACAAGACATAGTAGTGCTGAGTATGAAAAGGTAGATTAAAGAAAAAAAGCCATATCCATGTTTATTTTAACTTTGGGCAAAGCTTTGAGTTATTAGGGGAGGTTAAGTCTTATGGAAGAGCTCACAGGGAAAGTATCCTCATGTGTTATCGGTATATTGTTTTGGGGATATTGTACATATGCCAACCATATTTTGATGCAAAAATATTTATTGAGTATCTAATGACATTTAAGTGGAAAAAGCTCACAGAATCCACCGTTACCATCTTTGCAGAGTTCACAGTCATGCTGTGAATACAAGGTGTATACAAAGGAAAACTAGTAACCATGCTGCTCCGCTGCACTGGGGAGGTTACAGCCTGTGCCTGTTAGGTATCACCTAAACATATCAGATGATGAGTTTTGTCAGACGTAGGCTGGTATGAGATGTTCTTTGAAAGGTGTGGACATTCTGGGAATCATGCTGGAACTTAAATGATAACTCCAGTTCTGGGGGAATCTGATGCCTTCTTCTGACCTCTGCAGGCATTCCATGACATGGGTACACTCACACACATGCAGGTAATACACTCATACACATAGAATAAAAATAATAAATAAAATAAAAAATAATACACCATTTCTGAAGGAGCTACCTGAGAAGGAGAGGGAATGAAAAACAAGTAAGCATTCATTCTCTGAACTGTAAAAATTAACACGTGCCCAGTTTTTTAACATGTATGATCCACAAAACCTAAACAAAACCCAGAGACCCCAGTGAGATGGGCAACATGAATATTTTCTTCCCAGGGAGCCCAGCTTGCTCAAGGTCAGACAGCTGCAGAGCTCTGTGCACCTTGTGCTTTACAACACTGTCAGGAGCATTTTCCTCTCCCTAGAGTTCAAGGGGTATGTTGAGATACGATGGTAAGGCCTTTCTAAGCTGGGTTAAGAAATTTGTTTATTCTATGAGGAAAAGAAGTCGGCAACATCTCTAAAAGTGAAAACGGAGGAAAAAGAAGTGTACCAGAAATTGGCAACAGATCATCTTGACATTGATATTGGGCTAGGATCTCAAGTCAACATTTTACAGGACAGTTTTTGAGTACCTGAGTATTTACAAGTACAGAACCCTGTTCTGACCTGTTTCTAGTTCCCTGTCTAGAACTTGTAACGCTAATTACTCCTGCATTTACTTCTCCTTCACATCGCCTATTCATGATTCAAGGACTTTCCTTTCCCTTTAGAGACAGGAGTTATGAAATTTGGGAGTCTTTTAGATAGACCCACTGAATGGGTACTCCAGTTGCCTCACCCTGCATCCCTGTTCAGCATGGAAGAAGCCAGAGTGGTCTCTGTCCCTATTCCTTACTGGCAATTTGGGTAACCCCTGGCAATTTGGGTAACCACTTCAGAGGATGGTGTGATAAGAATACGATGTAGGAATTGACTAGGCAGTTAGGGTAAAAAGACCCCAAAGAAAAAGTTTCTTGGCTAAAATCAAAATATCCTTGGGCCTCTTAGCAACATACTCTGTTCCAAAGAAGAAAAATGTCAAAAGTATTTGGGAGCTTGTATCTAATCCTTCAAAGATTTTAGGGTTACCACTTCAGAGGGAGGAATGTTGGAGGGGAGGGAGTGGGCATGGATTTGATCAAAACACCTTATATGCATGTATGAAATTCTCAAAAGTTTTTGTAAAAGTTAAAAAAAAAGAAAAGTCAGTTGGAACAACTTATTTCCTTTCTGACAGGCATACCATAGCAAATTGGGTTTGTACTTGAGTGAGACACTTGTTTCAGATACTGTAGTGGGGATAACAGTCAAGAAATAGGTATTAGATTAGCTTGCATTTACCTTTCAAGCTCTGCTCCATCATTTTACAAAGGGTGGGGGTGGGGAGAATAAAGAAGTAAAGCAAGGCGACTTGTTTATGTTTTCATGCCACAAATGTCACCACCATCATCAAATGAGCTTCCATACACAGAACATTGTCTATGCACCTGACATGTTCTCAGTGCATGTATGGATTCATTGAATGCTCACAGCCCAGGATGATAAGTAACTTACAGATGTCATCAGGCTATAAGCAATGGACTCAGATTTGCAGTCAGCAAAACTAGTCTCTGACTTGGCATTTTCTCTGTAGAACCAGCCTCTCTGCAGGACCTCAGAGTAGTTTGTAAAGCAAACTGTCAGAGGTTCTAAGGAATGAATTTTATGGTGGTATAAGGATGTTTTCTTTGCTATATTTTCAACATTTTGATAAATGGACTAAATAGGATATAGAAAGTCATCCCTTGTATTTTCAGAAGTCATGAATGGGGACAAATATAAGAGATAGACTGAATAACAGAAACATGTTCCAAAAGGTGTGGAATGAGGAAGGAATCCCTGTATGTTTTTGTTTTACAGGAATGCAGGAAGATACTGCAAGCAGACCCGAAAACCAGTCACCCAAGAATGGAATGAAGAACGCATCTAAAGTGAACACAGTCTGAGGGAAAGGTGTTAGCAAGTTAACTCTATGTGGATTAGGCTTGCAGAGCCACCCAGAGGCTAGCCCACATGAGCAAGTGGGCCTCCTGGATGTTGTACTGCACTGTTCACACCCTCCCTGCATGTGACTAATGTTCTAAGACCCAGCAGCCAGCTGCAGGAGTGCCAGCTTGCCCGCGGGCTCCGCAAAGCAGAGGCGGTGGCAGAGGCAACCCCAGTTCCTCCTCCCCTCCTCCTCCTCCTCCCCCTCCTCCTCCTTCCTCCTTCTTCCTCCTTCTCCTTTTCTTCCTCCTCCTTCTCTTCCTCTTCCTTCTCCCCCTCTTCCTTCTTCTCCTCTTCCTCCTCCTCTTCCTCTTTCCTGACTCCTTTGCTCTGGTTCCCATCTTGACCTCCTCCTTTGTCATATAACTTTGTGCCTACCTCTGGCACCTTTTTCTTAGTTTTCATTCTAGTTTCTTCTAGCGTTTGAATATTGATTTTGTTCTATAGGGCCTGATTTTGCTTACCTCCCTGGCCATCTGTGTCCTATTAAGTATTAGGAGAAAAACCTTATACCCTTTATGCAGCCCTTCAGTGCTCATCCCATGATGCTGGCCTTGGGGGAATATCCTGACAGCATGCCCATGGTCCTGCTAATAAAACTTGTAGAATAATTTGATCCATATTGATGTACTATATTCAAATCTGGCCTACCCCTTTCCCTACCACAAGGATGTCTAGAGAAATGGCATTATTAGAAATAGGATGAATGTGTATATGTGTTGTATGCATGCCTATATACAAGTATATGCAAATGTACATGGCTGTGCACACAAGTGCAGAGGCCAGAGAAGACTATCAGGTTTCTTCTTCTATCACTCTCTACCTTATTTCTTTGAGACAGGGATTCTCATTGAATCTCAAACTCACCACTTTTTGGCTAGGCTCTTGGCCAACAAGCTCTAGTGACTCTCCTGTCTCCGTTCCCCTCCCCATTGCTGGGGTTGCAGGTATGTAGGGCCATGTCTGACTTTGTTCCATGGGTGCTGGGGACAGAGACTCTCACTGAACCTCAAACTCACCACTTTTTGGTTAGGCAGGTGGCCAGTAAGCTCTAGTAACCATCCTTTCTCCATTCCCCTCCCCAGTGCTGGGGTTGCAAGTGTGTAGGGCCATGTCTGACTTTGTTCCACGGTGCTGGAGACCTGAACTCAGATCCTCATGCAACAAGCCCTCTTACTTACAGAGGCATCTCAGCTCCCCCAGTCCCAGGATATGTTTTTTTTAATTTTTTTGATTTATTTATTTTTATTTTACATGTATGAGTGTTATGCCTGAATGTATGTAAGTGCACTCGTGTCATATAGTACCCCAGGAATGACAGAAGAGAGCACTGTATCCCCTGGAACTGGAGTTACAGATGGTTGTTAGCCACCATGTGGGTGCTGGGACTTGAACCCAGGTCCTCTGAAAGAACAGCCAGTGCTCTTAACTGCTAAGCCATGTCTCCAGCTCCCCAGGATAAAGTTTTAAGTTTTGAACTTTAAAGCTTAGTGATACATGGACTGAATGGAAGAGCCAAGAGCATCTAGAGAAAATATGACTATGTTTGTTATGGAAGCACTGGGTCAGAACTTGCAGACCCTGTGACAGATCTGACAGCCTTTTCTCGTATAGCTCCAAAGAGTAGCTGAGATGCTGTGCACAGAAGCTGTAGCATAACAGATGGGTTTCAGCTCAGTAAAAAGCCTGTTCATGGTGAATGTCTAGAGATGGAGTGGGTTAGTAGCAGGCTTCCTTCTACTAACAGTATTCAAGTATAGGTTGAGCAGTGCCTTCTCAGGGAATCTGTACAACAGACCCAAATATCAAAGGGACAGACTCATCTGTGGCTTGGCTCCATCCAAGGGAATCTGTGTCAGTGAGGACCCAAAGGTGAGCAAATGGCTTGAAGATGGTGGTACCCAAGGTGAAGCTATCCCTTCAGTGAAACCTCAGAGTTGAGTACCACTTTGTGGAGGCACCTCCCTTACTTGTAGGTAAGCTTCCCTCCTCTTGCCTGCTCTTGCTGAGCTTCCATTGTGAGTACAGCCTAATGTGACTGGCCACCCAAGCAGGAGGGGCCCACCCCAAATCTAAGACTGCTCTATTTTAGTTTTCCATCACTGAGCATCGAGTCTCATGCTTTTCTAATTTTGTGCTTATGAAAGGGCTCTGTTCTCTCTTAGCCCCTACCCCCGCCCCCTTTCACAGATCAAATAACAAGTGCACTGGACAGAGAGGAGCCGGAGTGAGAAAATGCATTTTAATAAAACCCCATTGATTTTTGTGGGTGCAAGTCAAGGAAAAAGCACCTAAAGAGTCTTCTATCGCCTGCCATCTCCTCCCTCTCTCCTGACCTACTAGGGCAGTCACACATCGATTGGTTCCCAGCTAATAGATTGTGCCACCCGGTAGAGACCTCTGGGGACTAGCCTGGAGCTGGAAGAGTCTCACGCAGCAGCCCAGCCCCAGAGTTAATCAAACTAGCAACAGGATCTCAGGCAGCGGCGGCGGCAGCAGCGGTGGCAGCAGCGACGGCGGCGGTGGCAGGATTGTAGCAGCAGCGGCAGCATTATGCATGATTACTGACAGGCACCAGCTGCTGCCGCCGCCACAGCCTCTCAACGCACGATGTGGACTCTCGGATCTAGAGGCAGATTCCAGACTAATCCCAGAGGGCTGGCCCAGCCTGAGCTCCCCCGTCTGCTAGCAAGCGATGGCCACTCTTGTTAGCCCAAGTTGAAGGAAGCAGGGCTGCGCTTGGGAGCCGGGAGAGACTGGACTCTTCAGAAGCGCAGCAGAGGACTATGAACTGAAGAGTAAACATGTATGGAAATTACTCCCACTTCATGAAGTTTCCCACAGGCTTTGGCGGTAAGGACCTTACTTGCGCTTCGCTGTGCCAACCTGTCAGGAGAGGCAGGGAAGAAACCGGGAAGCAGGATAACGTAGTGTGGAACTGGAAGGAGGGCATATATGTTCTTATGCATGTACAATGCGTGTACCGCGGGTTTCGTGCGAATGTGCGGGTGCAGGAGAGAGGAAAGAATGGCCCCAAGGTGAAGGCATGCTTGCATCTCGGAACGAGGGTCTGGGATGTTCTAAGGAAACTAAAGTAGCATGAGAAGGTCTGAGACAAAGATAGAAGGAAGCTTTGCCACAATCCCACATGTCTGTGTGGGTATGAAAAGTGGAGTGAAGGAAATTACTAAGATGGACCTGTTATCTAATTTGTAATGAGGAAAAGTGATTAAAAGGTTTTGTTTGTGCTAAGGGCCCTGGAAAAAAATATTTTGCCACAAGGGCAAGATTGTTTTTACTTAAAAGCAGATTTCTTTACAATTGGATTTTCAAAAAGGAAACAGCCCTTTAATTTGCCACCCTGCTTCCCTTCCTGTTTTCTTCCCTTTTGATTTGCTAATAGCCTCTTCTTTCCTCCCCTGCTGCTGCCCCCAATTCTACTGCAGAACTTGCTGCCATCATTTCCACGTTGGGGGTCTAGATCTCTGGCTGGGGGTGGGGAAGGCTGGCCTCTTAGGAGAGCAAACCGAGGATCCCAGTGAATAAGCCAGGCAGGGCAGTCCCTCACTGTTCATAGAAGCTTCTGGAGGCTGAGTCCACAAACTGTCTTCATGCCTAGGTGCATCTGTCCTAAGGACTTTCCCTCCAGGGACAGAGTCGTCCAGATGCCCAGCCCTGTGTAAATACAACCACAGTTGACCAACTGGCTTCTCATATATCTGGGGGTGACAAGGATGGCATGGAGTTCATGTTCCTGGGAACCCAAATGGGAGATTGTGCCGAATGGATTTTGGCAGGCAGGATAAAGCAGATAGGCCTGCAAGGTCTTAAGAACTGAGGTCCCTTACCTCCTGTCCTCTGTGGACAGATAGTTTATCCAAAGGGTTGGGAATAAAGTTTGTCTCCTTTCCTAGACTGAACCCTCTTTGTGGCACAGTGACACACTACAAGGCAGCCAGTCCTTGTCCTAGAGACTTTGGGCTAGGAGGCTGCTCATTCATTCAGGTACATTGAGTGACTGTGTGAATCAAATAGGAGCAAGGTACTGGGGGATTGAATGTGAACGAGACACTGCTTTCTGCACTGGGGCAGGTTCATTGGCGCATAATGCTGTACAATATACAGTAGTGGAGACTTGAAGAGGCTGCTTCTTGGACCCAGGGGTGACATGGGAATGATCCCAGATAAAGTTCAAGTTACTTGGGCCAGTCTAATGACTGAGAGTGGTGGCCAGTGTCATGACCTGGACATGTGGCCTGCAGGTTATAGTTTGAGCCTTTCTCAACTTCCATCCTACTTGCCTCCTAGGCTGAGAGCAGCTTTCCTCTTTGCCCATGAGCTTGGTTGTTTGAGGATCATGTTTATCCTCAACCAGATTCCTGAGACCCTCAGATTATGGCTTCAAAAAAGAAGGAAGAAGGTCTAGTCTAAAATTCCTTACTAAAATTGTGAAATATTAGAATCTGAAGCACCTTAAGGGAAGCAAGAGCCTCTCATTTTCAGTTGAACAGATGTGCCAACTGAGGCCTAACAGGATACAGAAATTAGTCCAAGGTAATGAGGGGTGGAGTTGCAGAATGCTTCGGAAAAGTCCCTAACTCAAACTTAGAAGAGAATTGGTTTCATATGATCTGGCAAAACAAAACACACACAGACAGACACAGATATAGAACACAAACACACATAGAGACATTCACTGACAGACACAGAGACATAGAGAAACAGACACACATGCACAGACACAGAGACAGACAAATGAGGTTGTTGACTTTGGCCTTTAGTTTTCATCATCTAGCTTTGTAATCTTAGGCAAGCTACTAAATCTCCTTGGGTCTTTGTGTCTTCTACAAAATGGGATTTATAATCTCGTCTTTAGAGTTTGTTCTGAGAATTAAATGAGCTAGCTCATGAAAAAGTATCTGTACATTTGGTACCAAATACCAGTTAATATTTCCATCCCTTTCACTTCGCTCAGAAGCCAACATGCAAATTAAATTCAACACCAGATATTACTATAGATTAATAAATTGGAAGCCTGGAAAAATGTACAACTAAATCAGCAAAGACCCACACATTTTGCTGGCTTCTGTTTTGGTAATCATGGTGGCTCTAGTGTTTGTTGTAATTGGCTTTCGGATCTGATGTGACCCAGGGAAAAGTTGTTTAAAATGCTTCCTTCCAGTGATGCTTTCCCTTGTCATTCCTAAGGGAGGATGGTTAGGGTTTTTTGTTTGCTTTTGTTGATGTTTCCTATTTTGCTTGCATGCACCAGTTAAGAAGAGGCCTAAACTGAAAGCCAAGGGACTTTACCCCCTTCTACAGGAAGGTCTGCCTAAGAATCTGCGGTGTGTGAGGAGGACCCCATTATAAGCTCAGGAAACCTAGGAACATCATGTGTAGCCTTAATGCTCTGCCGTCCTAAGTCATTTGGTCCGTGCATTCCACCCTTTCACATATTAGCAAATGGAACCACAGAGGGCTCTAGGATTTGTGTAAGACTCTCTCGGGAAGTAATCCCACTCTTGGGAAACAGCACCTGGACCTGTGTCTGGAACATGCTTATTGTATGTCAGAGCTTCATCCAGGCAGCAAACAGGAGGCTGGTCAAACTGGCTGAAGGCAAGTACCCACTGGAGTGTAGTGGCCCCACAAAGGTGCCCACTTTTCCAGCTCGGTCCCTGCCTGGGATGGTGGGAGAACCCTTTTCTTCTTCTTGGCAGAGTTCTGGGTTTGCCAACTGCACAGGAAGAGATTTGTTTTCCCAGTATGCTGCCCCTTAGAAGATCTAAGACAAAGCCCGTAATCCCCATCCAATTGTGTAGTAATCCTGAGGGGGAGAAAATGAGGGGAAGAGGGAGACAAGGACCTGTGACACAGGGACTAGCTATCCTTGTGAGTGCTCTGCTGGGCCAATGCCTCTCACTGACCCTGGTCACTCTAGTATCCTTGCGTAGAACAGGAGCTGAAGGCTTTGGGAGGTAAGGGATCCTCAGGAAGCTCTCACAGCTAGAAAACAGACTGGCTGGGCCCTTGAACCCAGGCATTCTGGCTCCGTGCTAAGCCACCTCTCACAACTTTGGTGACACACTTGCCCTGTGGGACTAGTAACAGCAGCCTACCCCAATTCAACCTGGAAAACCTGGCCATAGCACTGACTGGTGGTGGTTAGTGACACAGTGGCTTGGCCACTAAGAAATAAACCACAGGATAGCAGAGGAGCAGCAGTGAGTTCTGGAGGATCAGCTGATGGCTTCTCAGGATCCTCCCCATTTGCAAGAGTCCTGAGCAGCTGACCTGGCCACTGGTGTGGAGAATGCCCTTTTCCACCCGAGAAAAGCCGCAGAGGTGTGTTGAGTTGACAGTGCTTGTGTACACATGTGTGTCTTTGCCAGAACACATTTTCCCCTCCGCGGATGTGTGGGTGGTTAATTGGAGCCTACCATGGGCGTAAGTGGTTAGGGTTTATGTAGGAAGGAATAACTGTTTATGAGATTTAGGAAGGAACATATTTAGTATAAACTACTTTCTGAAACATTTACAATCTTACCAAGAGGTAAAGAGCTAAATAGCAACCGAGAGAAGAAATTGTGCAAAGAGTCATCAAAAAGCTCTGCCTTTCCACTTCCCCTCATTATGTGGCATCTGGGTTTGCAGGGTGCTGAGCCTTCTAGCCTTGGGTGTTTGTTGGGCTGGACTCCAAAGGAAGCTACTGTTTTCTCCTCCAGTATCAAAGTGGATGACAATGGAGCTTAGGAAATGGAAGAAGTTTATTTTCTAGAATGCTTGGGCTTGGATGGCTTTCATGAGATGGACCCAATCCTGGCTCTGTCATCCTCACAAAAGAATGAAAGTAATAGTTAACATTTATCAGGCACCCACTGTGTGCCAAGTACTCTCAGGAACATTACATGTGTATCTCAATTGGTGTTCTCTAGGCTTGGGGGTAAGATACTATGACCATCATCCTCCCCATTTTACCAATAGAAAAATAAAACTTCAGGGAGATCACTTCACCAGTAAGGAGCAGGTGGAAACCCAGTCTAGGCGGCTCATGTCAGGTTTGCTACACTTAACCCTATAATGCTGGCCACACCCAGAGGTAAAAGGAGGATAGGATGAGCTGTGGGAAAGAGACCCATCAGCCTCAATTATATGTAAGAAGCCTCAGTTATATGTAAGAACAACTAACACATTCATCCCCCTTGTATCCTTTCACAGCTTGTATATGGCTCAGAGCACTTAGCTTTTCCTTTGAATCATTTCAGCAAATGAATAAAAATACCTGAGGGGGAAACAAGGGACTAAGCAAAGGTTATTATTTTTTTTTTTCCAGGCGAATCACAATTATTTGAATAAGTTGAACTGGATTTTTCCCAGGCTGGGGCAAAGGTTGGCCAGCGTAGATTTTGCAGGCTGCACCACCACTGTGAGAGGGACTTATATCATCTCTTGTAGTGAGGAGCTGCCATAGGTGGTGCACAAATGAATACAGACAGCTGTGCTCCAGGAAGGCTGCTGGCCTGTACGGGATCCCCCTAGAGAAGTTTTATTGCCATTTCTGATTGCTCTTTTGTTAGCTGTGAGTCCCAACACCAAAATACCCTTCTTGCCATTGCCCTGTCAGAGTTGAATTCTCACAGTCAGACGTGGCCTATAGTTCATCTGTCCCACCTATCTGGTTACTGGTGAAGACACTTGAGAAAGCACACGTGGCTTGTCCAAGATTTGGGGAGTATGTGGTCTTCAAATTGCATTCTTCAAGTGCCCATGGAGCCACTGGGGGGGGCAGGAAGAGGAACAGAGGCAGCTAAGCCACAGAGTTCACCCCCATCATTTGGTAAAATAGCGTTACA